GCCGGGCGCCGCGCTCCCCCGCCTCCGCGGCGGCGCCTCCCGCCGACCGGGGAGGGCAGCGGCGGAGGCCGTGCTCGCCTCGGCCTCGCTCCTGGCTGGGCTCCTTCTCCCCCGTGAAGTTCTGCGTGCCGGGAGAAGCTTTGTTTCGGGTTTTCTTTTCTTCTTTTTAAAGTTCGCTCTGTTCGGATGTCGCCTGTAGCGAGCTGCGCCTTATTTCATCCGTTTCTCTCAAGTCCGGCTTGATGGAGCAGAATCTGGAAGAGTTTTTTGCAAACTGTTCGGGAGCAGGTTAGCTTTCAGCATTCGCCTAGCCTAGGCGTTTGTGTGGTGTGGCCTGAACATAAATCCAAGTTATTTTAGCCGTGCAGCTGGTTCTGGTCATTGTGCGAAGCGCATAGGCAGACTCTGCAGATGCGATTAAATGCTTCCTTCTGCTGGTGTAACTGGGCTGAAAACACGAACGCTGAATCAGGACGTCGCTCCGTGAGGAAGACAAATACCAAGTGCACGTAGTCTGCTTCAGTGTGTCCAGAGCATTGCTTCGGGCGGCATGTCTGTATAATTGGAAGGGTACATACAGGATACCTTAATTTAGTACACAAGTACTGGTTTGTATGCACATCAATTTTAAGACTTCTCAGTAAAAACTATCCAGACGGGTTTTTTTAAAGCTTTCTGTTAAGGTGTGGTTAAACATTCAGTAGAGTTGGTGTTGCCTCCTCAGTATAGAAATGGACTGTGTCGCAAAAGCGTTCCTTGTCCGGCAAGTGAACAGGTCTAAATGTCAGACAGGAGCCAACAAACAGGTGGTGGGCGCCAGCAAAAAAGTTCATTATTCCATTGGCAGGGGTGGCAAGGAAGTTCCGCAGCTACTTTATCGCCCTGGCTGTTAGGCACTGTCAGGTTTTGTCTTTATAGGTCTCCTGGAAAAAGAGAGCTGAGGCGGCTGTGGAGCTCGGGCATCGGGAAACTATTAGAAGAAATGGGGAAGGCTCTGCTTTAGAAAGCTGAGCTAGCAGGAGGTAGAGGATGACAGGACTGATAAAATGGAGCTTCTATGACCTTTCTGAAGCTGTGCCCTCTGCCTTACTGGAATCTACCATTTAATTTCCAGAAACCAGTTCTGGAGGACTAGAAAAGGGGAATTCGGGTTCCTGCCACCTTTGATTTGGTATCTTGCGAATCCTTGCGTTGTAGAAAATTTGATTTCCAACATCGGATTGATCATTTGATCAACTTTTTGTTGTCTTTCCCTGAAAACTGTGTCTATTTTTCCTCTGAAACAGGCATGCTTACTTCCAAGCCGGTCTTGCTTTGTATATAAATCTGAATTTTGAAACTTGGCTTTTAAATAGAAGGCTTGTTGAAATGTCAGCTATGCTCTTGGTTTTTAGCTATACGCTTTCTACGTGCCTGGATTTGTTTTTTTACTTCAGCGCTGTTAGCATTGACTCTTTCTTCTTGCAGAAGCTCAGTCAACTGTCTCCCTTGCATTAACTAACTGAAAAAACACACTTCCATATTGGCTATGCTCTGAGGGTTGTGTCTGAGAGAAGTAACAGCACTGAGCACTCTTACCTGTTACATGTTACAAGCCCTAGTCCAAGGTGTAAAGTGGGGAAGCTAATAGTCAGGGGTCGCTTGTGTGGCTTGAAGCAGTATCCCGAAGAGCAGCCATGGGCGAGATTACCTCTTTGGCTTTGTGCTTATTTCCTTGTTTAATTTAGAGAGTAGAGCACTGTTACTCTTTCCAAAATGCATTTCTTAAATTATCATCCCTAAAAATAATTTTTTTTCATGTATGTGAAAGACATCAGGTTCATTTTGAAATCTGCTGCAGCTGCTGAAAGAATGGAAGGAGAGCTGTGCATGCGGCAAGGATTGTTTTGTTTTCCATCAGCTCTGTAGCCAAGCTTTCTAACTGCATAGCTGGTGTGCAGAAGGAAGATAATTTTTTCGTGGTGGACTAAGATGAGGCGATTGGTTTGTTTGCAGTTCTGTCAGGTGAATAGTTCCAGCACTGTCTGCTGCTGCTGCAGCCTTCTGGAGCAGCGTTATGCTGCCAACTGAAATTGGCCCCATCCTTGGGTAGTTTCATTGCTGCCTGCAAATATCTGAGTAGTGGCATTGAAACCAGCCAGTTTTTACTGGCTGCTGCTTGGGCCAGGTTTGCTATGCTGAAACAGTAGGGCTTTTTGTCTGTAAAGTCAGAAAGACAAGAGCATCATCTGAAGCTCGGGAAGCTGTGCACACGTCTGTAATGGTTAGACCCCACTTTTCAATGGAAGGCTAAAATTTTTCATAAATTGCTGAGAACTGCAGGCTCATTAAGGAGAGGTTGTGTCTTAACATTGATTACCACCCTTCGTAGTAATCCTCATGACAGCATATGGAGCAAGTAGAATTATCTCCATTGCCCGAGAACACAGAAGGAATCTGTGTTTTGGTGAGAGAAATTTCACAAAATTTTGGTATCTTAAGGCCATGCCGAGTGTGCTTCTCCGATACTGTGGGGCTTTGTACTTATGATTCCCACCGTACACCCAGGGCAGGTATGTGACAGTAGCGCTGTTCCATAAGATGTCGTTAACCTTCTGCTTTTCTCGTAGGTGTATGCAGAATACTTTTGTGGAAACAACTAACTAGAAATCTTCACAAAGGAATATATTTGGTGAGAAAGTTTTATTTTTATCAGCTTTGATGTGAATGTATGTGTGGCTGTACCATTACCTCCAGAGCTTCCTAGAGCTTTCATTCAGGGTCCTATAGCAGTGTTAATGTTATAAATAGCTCTTGAATTAAAAATTCTCTTCTAAACTACTTCTTTCTTTACAACTGTGTAAAACTTTGAAGCTTCTTGTATATTTCTTATTCTGACAATACAAAAGTGTTTTCTTCTTTAAAACCAATTGAAAGAGTGACTTCCACTGTTATTTTGTTTTAGTGTGAAGGTTGATACGTATTTTAATGCATTCTTAAAAAAAGATGAGAAGTTACCCCTTATCTCATAAGCGCACAGAGGAAAAAAAAACCCAGAAAGTAGTTTACATGTGTTCCTGTTTGAAATCTTTTTTTAATATCTGGGTTTGCTTCCACTTCTTGACATAAGAAAACACAAAGCTTACGTATTTGTCTGCACAGATGAAGAAAGAAACTGGAGAGTGCTGCTGATATACTAGATGTCTGCTTCATGAATGTCCATATGAGTTCTGCCAGGACTCATAGAGATCCTACCTTGTTCAGTGTGATCATACAATGCAGGTGTTAAATGAAGCTGGAGGCTTTTCCCCAGTGATGCAAAACACTGAATTTGGCATCATGAGATGAAAATGCCAAAGAAAGATCTTCTTTCTTTCTTTCTTTTTCGCCTTTTTTTTTGGCCAGTCTTAGCATACTTTGAAGAAGATTCTGAAAAACATGTCAGAGAAGTTCCAAAGTTCAGGCTTCTGATAAGTCTTTGCCTTGTTGCATGTGTTTGCAGTAACAGTAATAATTGTGACTAATGATTCAGTGCATAGGGGACTTTGAATCTGCAGCTTCCAACTTAAGTTTTCAAAGTTCCTTAACCAATACCATGTCTGAATGACCCAATTCTCTGCACAAAAGTCTTACCCTTGCACCTCCGGATCAGTGCCTTAAGTGTTAGTTGAGCTGTAATCTCTGTTGGGTCTCATGACATTTTGCTTTCTTCTTCTCTGTGGGGGGACACCTTCAGCAGGGAGCGTGAAGAGGAACCTCCCTTAGGATACACTGCAGTCTGGTGACCGGGGACCCTGTCGCCAAGTGGGACTTAAGAGCTTGGATCTTAATAGGCAAAGGAGGCATTGAATTGTAGGTGAGTGTTTTCACCTTGATGGTATTACGTAAAAGATAGCGAGTGGTTTCTGCTTTTCTAACTCCAATTTTTGAAGAAGAAAATTATATTCCTGCCCTCTTCGTCTGAAGACTGGATGAAATCACCTGCTGCCAAGCAGTTGTTCCAGGCCTTTGGCCTCTGGCCCTTTGACCTCCAGTCAATAGAAATACCTTAATCTCTGGAGGAGAGCCAGGTTTAAGACATGCTCCTCTGTGTAGTATTTTCTGTTTGCCAGATATGCTACACCCTGTTTAGCACACGGGATTTTGGATCTTTTCAGAGGCTCTTAAGTCTCCTGACATGTTAAATTGGGTACAAGGATGCATGGTGCAGGCTGTAACCTAGATACCTGAAAGTTTTCTGCTGAAGTGCTTTGTTGGATCTCGGTCTTGATTCTGTGATTCACTGGAGAGCTTCTACAGAAAAACAAAAGGACTTGAATTGCACTTTTTGAGCTCTTGTGTGCTAGGTTCTGGTTTTGGTCAAGCTGTGAGCCTTTTCTGACAGTGATGAGATTCTGTTTTCACTTGCATTGATGTAGTAGGAGAACAGTGAGTAAAACCTAGCACAAGCTGGTTAGGCACATCTTTTGTAGGTAGCATTCCTAGAGTGCTTCCAGGTACCTGTAGAGCTACGCATCATACAGTAGTTCTCAACTTTCTGCTCTGCAGACCCCTGAAGGCTCCCTTCTGTGTAGAACAAATTCAGTCCTACCGACAGTGACTTGTTTCCCTTAGCTGCTCTTCTCAGGCCCGTGTAGTACTCCATTGACTTCTGGGGTCTGGTAGCAGCAGGTGCCTGGGCTGTAGAAGATAGACCACTGTGGTCCATGTAGTTGTAAGAGAGTGAAGTATTTCTGTGGTTTAGAAGGAGTTGCAATTGTGTTAAATCATTGCATGTGAGTGATATATTGTGTAATATTCCTGTCTACCTTTTAAAATAAAGTAGCTTGTGGTCAAGAATTATGTAACCTTGAGGTTCTAGGGAAGGTAGCAGGGGAGGGAATGCCTGATCTTACCACTTCTTTTAGGTAGTGCTGTGATTTTACACTTGTGTTTTTTCTAAATACTTCATCACTAAACTAGAAACTCTGCTGTGAAACTCCCCTGCCAATACATTGCTTTGCTCATTTAGCTTTGCAGGAACTGCAAGCAAATCTGTCAGTGGCCTAAACTAGATTACGGAGAGTTATGAAAGCATCTTTTACCTGCACTGTTTGCCAATGTTACTCTGACTCTTTCCATTGGACAGGTGTCATCTTAAATACTTGTATGATGCCTAACACAACAGATCCTCGGTACTTCATCAGGGCTGTATCTGCTGTCAGTGCTGCTGTGTCCAATACCTTCTTAATAGCAGAAAATACTAAAACTTGTGTGGAGCCTTGTGATGCTTTCTAGTGTTCTGCCACGTTCAAAATTGGTAACTTGCTCCAATTCCCCTCTAAACTTGTTGATAATCCGTGACAGTATTTTGTCTGATTAAATAACTTTTCTGAGCCTCTTATGAGGAACTGTTGGCAGAAACTTTTTGGGAGCTCAAACAAGCAATTTCATCTGAATTTCTTTTGGGAGTTACATGCCAGCTAGATACAAATATATTAGCGGAGGTAGTTCTTTATAAAAATTAATTTATCTCTGGCTTAACTCATTTGTGTCTCCCTTGAGTCTGCTTTAAAACTGTTCTGGTCACATTTTTATTCCTTTGCTTGAAGTAAGACTTGCTAGGTTGTGACTTTTATTTTACTTTTTTTAGGATCTTCCCTAATGCAGTGAATAAACTCTTTCCAGATTCCTGATAGAGTAATCATCTTAACGAACAAAATGGCCACATGTTAAGTAGGAATGTAATTGCTTCGTATCTTTGTACAGATGTTTTGATCAAATAATGCCAGGCCTCTCAGTTTGTTACAGCATCTGCCTTCTCTTTCTTATACTGCTTGATATTTTTGTTTCAGGTTGGAAAAAAAGCAACAACCTACATGTAACTTCACATAGTGAGGACAAATCTTTGTATTTCTTCCAGGTTGCATTAGATGAATGCAAAGAAGTCATGTAGTACCTGTATCCAGTTCTTTCTCAGAACCTGACTGCCCTTGGTTGCTCCCTGTGATCAATTGGGCTCTCTTGCCTTTCTTTTTTTTTTCTTTTTTTTTTTTTTCTTTTTTTTTTTTTGACTTGCTGACCTGTGATTAAATAAAGTAACAAGGAATTCTATGATTGTAACTTTTTCAAATTGCCTCTTAGCCCTCATGTATTGGGTCATCCATCTTGATGTATTACTACTCACTTTCCTATTTCTTAGCTTCCATGTTTGTGTTTCTGGCTTTTGTTAGGTACTTGTTCAGTGTTACCATCAAATCAGCCACCCTGGTAGTAGGTTTTTTTGCTTGCTTTCTTGTTGAGCTTCTTGTGTAAAAGTACTTATGTTTTCTGAGTCATGAACTGATACCCTTAGTGCTGATTGTGAGGACTCTTTAATATTCAATTTAGGCTTGCTTCGCATCCAAGGATCTATCATTTAGTGTGTGGGTGCCATTTTTTACTGTGATGTTTTGACTTCATAATTATACTACGAGGGTTTTAGCTGGTGTTCTCCCGGTGAGTCTTCCCACTGTCAAGTTCTGCTTCTGCCTTCTCATCCCTTCTTCAGATCCCAGCCACTCCTTCCTCACCCAGAGGAGGTACAGAGAGATCTGTGCATGGCAAGACAAGCTGGAATTATTTTTTTTGGTGGTCGGTGACTCCCGGAAGAAATTTAAATTATTTAAAGGCTTGCCTATATGTGCAGGGAGAAGGGAACTAAGAGGTCACTGGCAGGAAGATAGAAGGATGCTTAGTGCAACTTGTTTTTCTTTTCCTGACCTCAGTGCCTGCTGAGGAGGGAAAGCAGGATTGGCAGGGAGGCTCAGGGAAGGAGGCAGGACTTAACACCGAGGCACATTTTCGTGGGGGAGGAAAGCAGGAGGGAAACCTGGGCTAGATATTGCTTTCTTCGCCTCCAAAGGGGAAATGCAGTAAGCAGAGCTGCTGATTTGAGCTTTCTCCTGTGCTTCCCCTCACTGTCAGGGACTGCTGCTCTAGAACTGCTCGAGGAAACAGCTTTTGATGTAAAGAAATCTCCTTTCTGAAATGTTTTCATTGGAAAGTTTGTGTAGAGTTAAAACAGTCTAGTTCTGCTGCTATCACCACACTGTGTATGCAGTACTGCTACAAGATAAATGGAGTTACATTTCTTCCATCTTGTTTTCATGGCATTTATTTAAATTCTGCTGCAAGGACTTGTTTCTTTGAAGTGCTGCTTTCCAGGTACTAACAGATCTTACAGGCATGCTGCTGTTGTTTTTCTAGTGCCCACCACCTCTGTGATCACTGGGCTTTGCTTTTTTTAATACATAAACTATTGTATGAGAGTGGCTGTTTTGTTTTTCATACTGTTTTTCTTCCTGATTGCTTTTTAGCGGTATGAAATAGCAGTAGTTTGGCAGGAGCTGCTAGTGTATCTAGTAATGAAAAAGAACTTCCTTTTCTGTGGAACTTAACCTACGTGCATTTTGGATTCATGGATTACATTTATGCGTTGCCAGAAAAGATGTACAGCATATGTGAATTTCTTTTTTAGGCAATAATGAATCAAACGGACAAAAATCAACAGGAAGTCCCATCATACCTTCATGATGAACCACCAGAAGGTATGTATTAGTTTTCATAATATCAAGTATATTCACAGAATTTCATCAGAAGTTCAGATCTCTTAAAAAAAAAAAATCTGCAAGCTGAACACTTTAACTTTCATTTAAGTAACAGTAAGCAAGCCAGCCCTGGAATGGGATGGGCCTGGATTATTCTTCACTTCTGCATTATCCCAATAACAATAAGGCCACTGAATATAACTCAGTGAAGAACTGTACTGATAAATTATAGAGAAGATGGGCAGATACTGAAGGACATAATTTGCAGATTAGTTTCCAGAGATGTGAATTGGTCCAATAGGTATTTATTTCTGCTGTTCATTATGCGAGATGGAAAGAGCCCAGCTTCACTTTTGGAGTCCTTGCTGAGTTCATAGTGCTTGTGACTTTTAAACAAGAAGTGTTTAAAAAGTACATGGAACTTTATTACTACTTTTGGAGACCCTTTTCCATCATACAATTAACTGTGGTTCTAACTGTTGCCTTAATCTCATGGTTTCCTAAAAACAAACACAAACTTTACTTCATTAATGCAGTGGCATCTTGGTCTCCTGAATCAAATGAATCTTAAATCGGTTATTGAATCTGCAGAGGAAATGCAGTTGCAGATGAGCCGAGTTCCCTTCTGGGCTATGGAACAGCACGACTGTGAAGAGTCCTGTTTGCCTAATGCGACTGGAAGCATACTAGATCAAAAGCCATTCTTGGCACACAGGTTGTCTGTGGTTTGTCTTCTCTTGCTTTAAGACCAAGTGTGTTGGATGTAGAGGTCGGTGAGTGCCGATTCCTCTCGGTTCATTGCTTTTCAATTTATGATGACCCTTTCGAGCTCTGTTTGTTTGTTTGTTTGTTTCCTCAGCTTTTGTATGTTGTATGACTGAACAATTTACTTCACTTGAACAACAGTATTATCCACTAACTGTAGCAGAAGGGCTTGAAGTGGAATAACTCACTCTATTCTTAACAACTATTAGGCAGGAAACGCAAGTACAAGAAGAGTGGAAAGGGAGAAATAGATTTTCATGGCACAGTGGTTCTTAAGCTCTACTATACTTGAACTTGTTACAGCGTCCTGGTGTGAGGACAAAAATCTTTCTTTTTAAGCTCTTACAGGGTTGTCAAGATCCCAGAAGCATTTCTGAAAGCAAATGCTAGGCTGGAAACTATGCCCTAATGTGTGTTATCTTCAAGTCTAATTTTTAAGGTGCCTTTCCCCCTCACCCCCCCTTAAAGATGGAATTGTGTTTTATTCATGTTAAACCTTGCGTATAGAAAGTGAACAGTGTCTGACTGATAAACTACAACTGATTCTTTCTTGAGGAAGGCAGTGAAACAAGTGGGCATTTTTAATCTTCCTAGAATACTCAGTAGGTTGTCCAGATTCAAAGCATAACAGCAGAGTCTGATCATCACTAGTTATTGCAAGGTTTTATTTAAAATTTGTGAGCATTTAAGACTTGATTTTCTTCTGCACAGTATCTTCTTTCAGTATAACAAGAACCAGTTTGAATATGAAATCTAAATAGATAGAGAAAGTTGGTGTAGTTAGAGGGAGCAGAATGAAACACAGCTTGCCTTAATGGAAACTCTGTCCTTGAAGAGGCTTTTTCCTCTTGATTCTGTTTCACGTGCACTCTTCAAGCCTCATGACTTCAGCTAAAATGTTGGAGTACCCTTGAAGAACATCCCTGTTTTAAATGTCATACAAGGCCTTCATATGCGATACGCTTACACCATCATAGAAGGATGGCCAAATGGGGATGGAAGGCTACCAGTTCAATGTTGGCAAGAAGATCTGAACAGGCTCTCTGAACAGGCTGCCAAAAAAAATCCTTAGAGGAAAGGCTCGATTCCAAAACAAATTTGCAGTTTTTCATAAAGATATAAATAGTTCCAGTTTGTTGAAATCACACTCGACAAGCTTGGTGCCCAAAGGGTTTAAAGAAATACATATGTAGAAGAAGCTTTTGTGCTCATACTTTCTATAAGTAGTGCTATTCTAATGGTTTATTTTCTGCTTTGCAAGTGGTGCCAACCTTTGCAGCCTACATTCATTCAAACTCTTGTTGGCTGTTGGACACTTTTCAGCAGGAAGCTGGCTGCAAGGTAGCATGGTAAAGCCAACCCCTGAACAGGGAACTTGTGTAATTTTCTCCCTAGATTTAGGAATGATCTGGTTTACCTTCTTTCTCATACTGGTTAGAAACAAGGAGACCAGGAATGTGTATCCTAGAATAGAAATCAAGCGGCAATAAAAACTCTTTGCAGCTGCAGGCATTTACTAGATCTCATGGACAATGCAAACAGGAATTAAATGGGAATGTGTCAACCATCACCAGAAGTTATTAATACACCAAGTCACAGTCAGTATTTATACTTGTGAAATAGAGTATATGTTGCTGAAGGATTGGTTACCTGAAGTAATGTGAGGAAAAGCATGTCAAGATTACTTTTCTTTGCTTCTCTTTTGTAATTTTAAGTTAGCTATGATGGGTCCTTTCTTGCTAACGTCAGATCTAATTCACTGAAATCAACTCTTAAAATTCAGTGTGATAAAACTACTCCCTTTCACCGTGATGATAATGATCCAGTTAGGTGGAAGTGAAGCACTTCCTAACCAAATTTTTTACAAGGTCTGTGAGTCTAGTCACAAGAATTGTCTAATGAATAATACCTAGACAGTGGATTTTATACCAGGCTGTATATGCTCCTATCTGAGTTTGATTCTTTAGGCTTTCTTTGTGTGAATAGGAATTCTGATATCTGTGTGCTTGTGTTGGCAATGCATTTTTGCTGGAGGTGTCCGGGTTGAAAGCTGCTGGCCTAGAATGAACCAGCAAGGGTATTACTTGGCTTTAAGTAAAAGGCTGTCACTTACATTTCTAGTTTCCGTGACACTTTATCTACATCAACTTCTCAAATAAGAAAGACTAGTGTAAGCTGGAAGCATTTTTAGTATTTTTTTGCTCCCTTGAGCTGCACTGTTCCTCTATATGCCTTTTTTTTTTTTTTTTAATTTTTGTCAGACTTGTAAGAAGTTCTCACATTTAGATGACATCTTTTGTTTTAATTATTCCAGGCATGCACATAGGAACTCTGAACTTGACACTTTTTTAACAAATTCTGAATCCTGGGTCAGTCCTGGCATTATCAAAAACTCACTGGAGGTGCATGGGAAGTTGTTCACCCTCATTTTCATCTTGTAGATGAGTGCTGGGAGGTGACTCTTGGAAACTGTCCTCTGAATGTGAGTTGTCAGCAGTCAGGGCACTGGAGAGAGAGACCTGTTCTACTCGTTCTCCTAAGGCATGTCTGCAGTGCAGAGCAAATGGGTTGACAGGGGCTAGATAGAGATCTCTGTTGGATCTAGATCTGATTTTTCTTTTCCCCTGGCTCTTTAGACTCGTTGTCCTCTTCCAAGCATGTTCATTCTGCTGCTGACTCCCTCACCTCTTTATTTCATGTTTGTTTCTTCCCTACCTCTGCCCACTGTGGTTCCACTTGCTCTTTTCTTGGTTCCCTCTGTTTTTCCCTAAGAAAGGGAAATGTATCTGTTAAATCCCATACATTATCTACAGGTAGCTAGAAAATACAAAAACTCTGGGACTCACCCTACTTGTGTTAACTGGCTGTCTCTTGCCATGGTTCTCTCTGAAACTTTTTTTTAAGGAGTGTTTGGGGTTGGTGAGGAATTGACAAGGCAGGAGCTGAAAAATGCTTGCCTGTAAATTGTTGTGAAGACCAGAGATTTCTCAAGGTTCACACTGAAAATACCTTGTAGACAGACATGTCGGGGCTACTGGTTTATAGGTGCAGTAGGTGATATTTTCTTGTGTGCTTAAATACAACATTAACATACTGTTTCATCTTCCTATTTCTTTTTTGAAGATTAGATGATGCTTAGCAGTAGCAGGGCATGGAGTTGCAGTCTCAGTTGCCTTTAGAGGCAAGGTGCATGTATCTAGGATTTTGAAGCCTACCTTTAGAAATGCAAAGTAATTAGTAAACTATTGGAAGGCTAAGTGGCTAATTCTGGGAGTCTTTCTATTACTCTAATAGGTTTCTATTATGTTGAGGCTATGTAATTGTATCATAAATATGGAATAGGAATTGACTTCTACGGTATATAGGAAGAAACTGCAAAATGCAGGTTAAACATAACATTAAAAAGAAAAAACATATTAACGTCATCAATAATATGCAGAAATCCTATGGTTTGCGATTTGGTTTTGTGCGTCATATTGGGACTTCCGTTGGGAGCCTGTAACTCTTGCTATTGTTAATGTCTGTGGGGACCACTTTTGGCATTTAATGAGCTTATTTGGCCATTGGACTTCCGTCCCTGCCCCGCTTCCCTATCCAAATTACAGAAAAGGCCTTTCTGGAAGAAAATTAAGTTTGTGTACATGATGAAGAAAGGAAGTGCTACAGTGAAGAGTTGGCACCAGTTTTGTCCTTCTCATGCTTCTTTTGACTCCTCTGATTGCTCTTGTTTGTAACCTTCTTTCCTGACCCTTTGCACACAACCCCTGTAAGCATCTTCAGAACAGTAATTACTAAGGAAAGAAGCAACTTTGCCTCAAGGTGAGGTCTTTTCAAAGAACACCTTTTTTTTTTTTTTTTTTTTTTTTTTTTATACCTTTGGCTCTGCTTCTCCAGGAAACTTCTTCCAGTCCTTCCTTAGAGATTTGAACAGCAAGTAGTCCTGCTGCTTTTGGAGGTCCCCCACTCTGTGGGTTAACTCTTAATATTAGGATGGGGAAACGGGAGGGTGTGTTGTGCCCTCCCATTAATAAAGTCCAGGAATGAGGCTAATTTGGCCATGAGACTTCCCAGAGTCTGGGAAAGTAGTGGTGCATACAGAGGACAGAAGTTTAGCACGTAAGACTGTGTGGGAGCTATATGCCTGATATTTGTAGGCTCAGTATTGACTTAGATTTTAGAAAACAGCGTTGAGGTGTGTCTCGCCGCAGCAAAGTGTCTTTTCTTACTTGGAACTATGGTGGTGTATGAGCATCCAAGAAAAGCAGCCTGCAAGGTAAGTATATACTGTGTGCAGTGGCCATTAGGCTAGAAAAGGAAGTACTTATGAACAACCTTTTCTTTTGAAAATGCTTTAATCATAGCACTGCGATTGATTTGCTTGTTGTTTCCTCCCTTAGGTTCATTAAAAGACCACCCGCAGCAGCAGCCCGGCATGCTTTCTCGTGTGACTGGTGGCCTCTTCAGTGTCACAAAGGGAGCTGTTGGTGCCACGATTGGGGGTGTTGCTTGGATTGGAGGGAAGAGCTTGGAAATTACCAAAACAGCGGTCACATCTGTGCCTTCAATGGGAGTGGGGCTAGTCAAAGGAAGTGTTTCTGCTGTAGCTGGAGGTGTTACAGCTGTAGGATCTGCTGTTGCAAGTAAAGTGCCTTTAACGGGAAAGAAAAAGGATAAGTCTGACTAAAACCAAAACTGAGACGTACTTGATTCTTCAGAATATTACATCAGTGGCATTAAAATCTGCTAAGATTTGGACCATGAGAAGCCATGTGTCTTAGACACTTTATCTTCTAAAGAGTTGTGCAAGTAACTCGATTTCATCTGAAAAGGACAGAAGCAGCTTGGCTAGCACAGCGTATGAAGATTTATTAGAGCCTAGATTGAAGCTTTGTATCTGGTGAAATGTTACACTTGATAACTATAGAAGTTAAGTGTATCCGAAGGGATAATACGTATTTGAATATTCATTTACTCTAAGTCTTTTGGAGTTTTGGACTAAAATGTGAACGTAGAAACTTGGTAGTCTCTGCTGTACCATCAATATGATGAGATGCCATTTACTGTTCTCAGTGGTTTCCATATCCTCGTGCTAAGGATCCTTCAGCTGTCTAACAGCATTGTTGGATGTACCCCAATAGTTTTGGTTATGAAACTGCATTTGCAGGCAGCCTGTAAACTATCAGTGACCGCATTCTACCAGTGCGGACTGGAGCAAATAGAACTGGAGGTGCGCAGAAATTGGAAATGAGTGGGAGATAGAAGTGAGAACGTTTGACAACATGGTAGAAGGGATCATAAAGAGTAAACTAACTTAATGCCTTATTAGAAAAAATATCTTTTTACTAGGTGAAGCTGTGTAAAGAACTGTTCTGTCGTTTTAGTGCAGTGCACAGAATGAGCCTTAGACTCTCTTTTACAAATCCTGGTATCTGAAACCTTGTCAGTTTTTACTGAAAACAAGATTGCTCCATCTCAGGTGTATTTAATGATGTGCATCTGTCTCCTGCAAGTGAATACTTGCTTCTAATAAACTTCTTATAGACACTAGAAAAAATGATGGCTTAATGGAAACTGGGCTGATGTTTGTGGTCATCTAGCACAACTGTCTGACTTGAAAGAAACTCCTTTGTGTAGTTGGAAACCACTGAAGAACTAGCAAAGCTGTTGTCTCAGCTCCATGATGCACCAGGTTAGCTTCTTGCTCTGTTTAATCAAAGGCAAGGAATTTTTCACTACATCTTTCTCTCATAGTTTGCATTTTGATTGTTGAGTAAAATGCAATACTTTTATATAAAAAAACAAACCAAAAAAGGTAGGTGAGGCCTTACTAAAAAAAAAAAAGAGAGAGAAAGAAGCATCATCCAAGTAAATTGTACACTGACAGATTCCAAACGTTGACACACCTCAAATGGTAACATCTGTAGGTCCTCTACAGCATGTGAGGCAAAATGCACTTGTAATGACACAGCTTGAGGTTGCCTTAAAATAGAAGCTGTTCGTGATCTCTTTTTTTTTTTTTTTTTTGTGTGGGTACTGACTTTGCAAAATAAGTAACCTCTTTGGAAGCCCATAGAAGGCTGTGAATGTTGTGTATGCAGTATTTTCTAAAAGCTTGTGTTGCTATGGAGAACTTACAAGCATGTAAGCTTACTTTTTCAGTGGCTATGGTTGTACAAGAAGGATATATAGGGAGACTTCTTAAAAAATTTAAAAAAATGAAAACATATTGCTTGGCTAAAACTTAGTCCAATATTCATGGGTGTTGAAAGTACACTATGTGTAAATTATGGTACAGTAGTCACCTAGTCCCTCTGAGCCATTGGTACTTCAACTGCACTCTGCAACAACTTTATTTGGTATCAGTAATTGTATATGTTGGTAGTACAATATTCGTAAGCATGGGGATTTGGGGCGGTGGGGAGAGCAAAAACCCAGCAAACGGCATTATCTGCTCCTTTTGTTAGATGCACCAGCTGCTTAGCTCCCATCTGCTGCAAGGGTGTGATGAGGTAAGTTTATGCAACAAATGGAAGACTTTTAACTTTTTTATAGCCAAAAGCTAATTGCATAGAATATAGCGTAGTTTAAGGATACCAGTTAGCTCTAGAAATGAGCTAGCTTGGATATCAGAGGCAATCTAGCTGCAGCAAATAATTTAGTATGGTCTGCTCCCCTGCAGTTTCCAGTGTAGACATATCCCCAGAGGGCTACCACTGAACCCTTAAGAGCCACCTGTTTGGAGCATAGTGGCATTTGTGACACTCAACCAAACCCTTCCTAATAGTTTTCTGAAAGCATAAATGTTGAACTGGTCATACCCCTTTTCTACGATAGTCTCTGATTTTTATACTATGAAACTTGCTGCAAAACAAGTGTGGTCTGAGATAAGCAATGTCAGATCTGTAAAGAGCTGCCAACACTTCATTATGTTTTGTTATTAACATAACCTGTAGTTATTACTTCTGAGTCTTGTAACTGAAACACTTTAACATGGCATATGGTTTTAGTTTTTGAAAAGAGCTTTGTCCTATATCCTGCATATTTTCCATTCACTTGTGAAACTTGCTTCATCTTAAAAACTTGTTCTGATTCTGTCCTGACACTTGTGAAACATTAAATTGTTGCTGTTTCAGACATTTGAAAGCTTCCTTAGTTAATTTATGGAGAAAGGCATACTTAGGTATAAATCTTCCCACAGTATCATGCCCCAGTGCCTTTTATCTGCACCAACCAGCTCCTAACAAAAACTCTTAAGTTCACTATGTAGGCTGTGCCTAGACACAACACAAAATCCCTCATACCCTTTCCTCCCCTGCGTGAACTGAGGCTTGGGGATACCCACTTTTAAGATCGTAGTGAGTGGAATGGAATACGGACCTGAAATTTTCAGGGGAAGTGAGATTGTTCTTGTGTCTCGGGGTTGTTTTTTTGTAGTGGTTTTATTTTACTCTCCATTTCCCAGCCCCCACTTCAAAAGGGGCAGTGTTTATGAAGACTACTTGTATGCCTGACTGCTTGCTGTGTAATGAAAGGTTGGTCTATAGGCTTTTATGTGCCAGACTTAAACAGTTTAAACTGGTTCATGTTCACTGCAAGTAACAGCAAGAGAAGACGAAGCAGATTTCAGCAATACATTTTGGTAATTGGGAGCTTCTGTGAGGCTTTATTACAAATGAATATTATAAATGTGAAGAAGAGAGAAGTGGGTCCCAGGCATAGAATTATGAATGAAGGATTGAATGAATTTCTGTCTGCTGGTAGAAAAAAGGAGTCTTTCTGTTTATGCTTTTGTTTTGAAAGGGGAGGAGGAGAAATTGAAACAGAATGGAAAATGAGTTTGTGATAACTCAGGCTGTGACTCAAGGAAATATGTCACTTTCCCATTTTGTTCACTGCCACTGGAAATACTGTAAGTGATGGAAATAAGGTGTTTCAGGAACTTTGAAAACAGATATATGTAGAAATGCTGAAACTAAATTTTCAGGGAAAACACTGTTCTACATCTTGGTTTCCTTTTCATCCTAAACCATCCATCAGATCTGTGGTTCAGCATTACAGGTTGTATTATGAATAACCTCAGAGAGCTGAAATGTCCCCTTGTGTCTGAGGGGAACGATGCTTTGAAATTCAAGTAATACTGTGGTATGCTTAATAGCTGAGCAGACAGTCAGAAAGTGATAAAGGCAAGTTCCTGTAAATTTTTAATATGGCTATCTTCCCAGTTTCCTCCTAAAAAAACGATAATGTGTTTTGAAGAGTCAGCAAAGACATGGCTTAGTAACACAGCCTGACTTTTATCATGCTGGTGATATGTGCCCCTTCTTGAATTCTCGCCACAGTCACACGCACTCCTAGAAGAGCTGTGGTTACCCCCACAAGCTGCCATCACGTCCACACTTGCCTGCATGGTGGTGAGTTTAAGACCTTCAGCTGTTGAGATCTTGGCACTGATCTAACCAGATGTTTCTAGCCTTTTCCAAGCTCACAGCAGATAATGTGGCAGCCTATATAAAATATAACCTTGCAGCTCACCATCTAAGCAAGTAATTCAATACCAGCTTTCCTCAGCAATTTAAAACTTTTCTTTAAGAAAAGGAACCCTGGACTTGCTGCCAAAATGTCTGTTAAAAATGGCCTTGAAGAATGGCCTGGAGCGAGGGGGGGGTGTAACTTTTTTTTCTCCTGCTGTCAAGAGGGAATGTGTATGGAATAGTTGCTTAGCAAAGTCTTTCTGAGAAACAGAATCACTGATGATCCTAATTCTCTTGAGATGATTGTCAATGATGCTACTATTTTATATTCTCATTCACAGCCCGTAAATGAAAATAAATAAAATCCCCTGAGAACTTAAACACTGTCAGATAGTTACTATTTTGAAAGCCAGCACTTGTCAACAATTACTGTATGGTGTTATCTGAGAAGCAGTGTCATCCATATATTTAGAAACTGGCAGCTGTTTGCAAATCTAGTAGTCATTTTTAATCACCAGTGGTTTACAGACTAGAGTTTTGTTACACCTAATATAAAAGCATGACTTTTTCCTTTCTCCTACAATCCTTCTGAGACTCACTTGAGTCTCTCCCTAACCTTTTCTCTCCCTAAGCTGTGCTAGAAAAGAAATTAAGAACTAGACAATGGCAATAAATGTATTTCCTCCTGCCCCAAACCTTTTGAAAAAGTAGTAAATTTTGAAGTCTCAGAAATATAAAGGAGGTTGTCTCATAGTTTCTTTGCATTGTGGTTTGCACACAAACATACTAGGGCCTCACTGCAGCAGTCACTAAATAAAAAAATAGTATGTCCTGCCCCTGTTCTCAGACTGCTCTACCTATGTTTTCCTATCCAAGAAGTGAGGTCTGCTGCAGGTCAGGATCCAGGAGCTAGAGCTACTTACTGCAGCAATAAGGAATGGAACTCGAAAAGAGCCTCCAAAATTCAGTGAACCAGTGGGTTGAACACTGCTGGAAAAATAACCCTCCTTTTCTCAGATAAAGATTGTGCTAATCACTACCCCAGGCTGGACTGTGCAGTGACAGAGCTGAAAATCCAAAGCAGTTAACGCCCTGTTAGATAAGGAAATGTAACGGAACCAAAAAAAAAAAGTGAGGTACTCCCTGGGGAAAAAAGGCAACCTTTATCATAACCAGCTTCTATGATATTATTTGAAAGTATTAGAAAGCTACAACTGTATAATGAATTTGTGCCCAAGACCCACTCTGGGACAAAGTACAGTATAAGACTACAATCTGGTTAAGATTTCTTTCGGCTCTTCTCAACCACCCAGCATCTCTTTTGTCATTAATAATTTTCTTCTGTGTAATTTGAAGTACAGCATTCAAATTATTCTTCGATGTGTACAGGAGCAACAGGATTAAAAATTGGTCTCTCCTTCTTTGATTGTATCCTACCATAATTGACTTCAAAATCCTTCTTAGTACCATTCAAGCTTTCTAGATTTCCACTCTTTATATCATATCCCAAAGCAGAGAGTTTTTTAATTCGGTACTGAACAATTTGCGTTGTCAACTCCAGCACCATTGGTGTGTCTCTAATCTGCGCTACAGAAATTCCTTCCTTCAGTAGTCCTTCAAGTCTTTCTTCCAAAACTGGAACAGAATAGTAGAGAAGGGCTGGGCATTTCAGCACTAGCTGTTTTAATTCTTGATCACTGCACTTAAAGACATTTTTGGAATAAAGCATACTCTTCTGCATAGTAGTAGGAGTAAGCTGAAAAATAAAACCTTTAAGTTTGGACAGCAGCTGTAGAACTTCATGGTCACTGAAATGATTCTTCTGGAGAAATTCCAAGTTCTCCTGGATTGTGGTGGAGGAATTTAATAAAATAAATGGATTTTGGCTCAATAGCTTCAGTATCCAGATCTTCATATTTGCATCAGAACCTCCTAAACTTAAATAATTTCTTTGTAATGTCTCTATCACGTTTTTGTTTTTCTCAACAGGATTATAGAATATACTGGGTGCGCTTGTCAAGAACCTGGTGATTATATTATTCTTAAGTCCCAACTCTTGAAAAAACAGTATATTTGCCTTCTGATTCTCATGATACTGAGTACTAAAAAAAGACTCTGGAAATTGCTCTATTAATTTAATTAAGTGATTTTCATTCTGGCATACTAGTTGCCATAGAGTTCTTTGAGAGTTTATCTCTGCAGGGGTATGGAGAATTGCCTCTGGGCAGCGTTCTAAAATGTTGGCTACAGTGGTCTCATCTGCTCCCATTTCTTTTAAGATATCAGCAATTTCTTTAACATAGGCCACATCCTGGAGAAGGACCCATTCCTTTAGTCTGCGTATTTTCTTAATGTCAACTGACAATCTGTAGAGACTATCAATGGTTTTTTTATTTTCCTCTCTTGATTTTGTATCCGTTGTGTAAGTGGAATGTATTAGGAAGCTTCTCTTCATTACTTCAGTCCATACAGAGGGAAAATTCAGTCCTGGGTTACGATACTGAGATCTTGCCAACAGAAGAGTAAATATATCTTTTGCACTGTGAGTGACTCCTCTCAACATCATGGAACGCAGTCCTATGCAGAGAGAACAGCAACTACAAGAAAACACATTTAAGGCACAAATTATACCTTGTAATGTTCTCAGAGGCACTGATATTTAGACTTGAGCTGGCATAAGAAACCACTCTCAACAGTGTTTTGTTGTTACTAGCACAAAATTCAGCTTTCATGCAGAAGGGGGAGGGAGGTAAGACTTTTGAAAGGTTAATGTTCTGACGGATGCCTTACAACAATAACATGGGCATGCAACAGACCTGATGTGGGGGCAGCGCTCTGTCCATATGCTTGCAGTCATACAAAAACCAAACTGTCAGCCGTTTCCTGCAGCTAACATTGTTATGTTACAGCTCACTCGCACTATATTAGAAAAATGTTTCATTCAATTTAATTTGACTAATTCTACTAAATGAATTTTTTAAAAGGCTGCTTTCTTAACTCTTCTGAATGTATTTGCTTAACTTCTCAAGCACTGTTTGGAGCGTGACTTGTTCCTTCACGTGTCGGAGACCCACCTCCAGCGCTCCGTCAGCAGCGGTTCACAGCCTAACTGCATTGTGAAATCATTCTCGTTATAATTAAGGAAAAAAATCATCAAAACCTTTATGTATGTGTTTTTCCACGAGCAGAGTCTGTTAATTGGGTTCTGAATAAGCACACGGGTATTTTGGGGGAGGAAGCAAGTACACTGTAACATCTTCAGGCCTTCACTTGCCTCTTCAGCACCTACTTTGCTACAGCTGCCCTTTGCGCTGTTTTGCCTTATTTCTGTTTCCAGGTTGTTTCTGTCATTGCCAGCGACCCCCAGTAGGCAAAGGGTGGAATAGGTGCGTGGCTGTATTGGGGTCCACACAGCAACCGCAGGGTAGTTGTGGGTGACCCCATGCCCCACCTTTGCTCAAACTGACTGCCAGGTATCACCAATAGCACACGCGCTGCCGCCTGCTCTGCAGTGGCCAAAGGAGCCGCAGCAGTCAAACAGAGATATCATCCAGTGTACCTTTAACTTCCTAGGTGGTGTCCTCGTAACAACCTTTTGGAAGCACAGAGTGTGGAAGGGAGAACTGCTGGTCTGTGAAATACTTGCACAAATTGCTGCTGCTGGTAACACGAACTCCTCAAATTGAAAACGAGAAAAAGAATACAATTTGTGCATTTGACAATGCTGTTTATACAGTTGCTTTCACCTCTCCCAAAGTATAGTGTGCTTCAAAAAGTACCTATGTGAGCATTAAGTTAAATTATTTTGAGGTGGGTTTTTTTAGGAGAGAAAAGACTGTTACGATCATGCAGTCTAATCTTCTACATAACAGACCAAGAAGCCTATTGCAGGAACAGCTATGCAAGACTCCTAAAATTTTCTTTATAGCCTACCTTTTAAGAAAATACATAGTTTGTTTAGAGAACTTAAGTGATAGAGCCCCCATGTAGTTGTCAGGTAAGGTTAAATATTTTCCAGGGGTAAAATACTTCATCTCAAGAAAGTGTACCTTTAAGTTGATGTTTTTCAGCTTCTAAAAGCTGGACTCTTGTTATGTTACTACATCATAAACTAACAGAGTAAGACATAATTTTCTACATGCAAGCTTATGTTATTAACAGAAGCTGTTTATCGGTAACTTGTTTTTTAGTATTACTTCAAATCTCCAAGGCAAAATCTGATTGCCTAATGAAGCTGCTTGTGTCATAACCCCAAGGCTAATGATTTTATCTTCATAAACTTTGTGACGTGAGAAGTGCAGTCCAGCAAGCTCCACCGCAAAACAAGCGTTTTTTCCCCAATAGCCCTGGAAGCAGCGTGAGCGTAGGTAAGTCACAGACTTTTCATGTGCTGACCTTTCCCTGTCCTGAAAAAGTGACTGTTTCAAGGGGACTGCAAACTGAAGCCTCTCTTCCACAGGGAGTGACACAACCGTCTGCATCTGAGTATTCTAAGTAGTTCTATTGAATTTAGTGGGTCCAGTCAGAGTAAGTAAATCTCTGAAGTATCATGGCTTTCTTCATTAATGCTTCAGCTCAGCTGGAAGCTGCCGGCAAAATGAAGTATTGTTAAAATTGTTTGGGATGTCACATGATACTTCCAAAGTAAGAACTGGAAAAATAACCATGACTTTTACTTCAATGTGTAATCCTGCTGTTAAACGAAATTGCCTTGTGAGTAATGTAGTCACTTAAAATACAGTCATTTTATCTATTATAGTGCTTTTAAAAAAAATCTGATAAATTGTGCATTTCCAAGATCTGACATGGAAAGGATTGTTATGTTCACTTAAAAGAAGCTTTATGTTGTCTGAAAATGTTTGACATCATAGTCAACTTTTTTCCTGTTAGTGAGGATCATCCATGCAGAAACACAGAATATTATAAAAGGAAAGAAAACTTTATTTGCTGAACCGCATTTGACTGGGGTACTCAGGAGCCCTTGTAAAGCACTGAGCAAACTAGAACATGCAAAATACGATGAGTGGGTTTTAACATCATGGTGTTCTATAGAAACTGAGAAGATGATTAAGAGTTATGATTTGGTGTATTTCAGAGTCCATAGATGACAGTATCACATTTCCAGGGTATGTAACCTATTCCAAGAGTTCAGAGTTCTCTTAAAGCTCATGCTGGACTACTGTTCTAATATGCAGGACCCCACTGTAACTTTTTACATCCTTATATTGCGGTGGGGATTGTAAAATTGAGAGATTAAGAAAAAAAACAGCCAGCTTAGACGAGTCATTTGCTCTCACTGCCAGCAGCACCCTCGTATCACCAGGTGTCATAACAGCAATAAGGAAGTGAACTAATGCCTGCCTGGAAGTTACCTGTGATCCTGCTTGCTAGCAGACTCGCGGTGACCTGTATCTACAGAGTAAAAGGGTGTTACAAGTTTCATTATTTAATGAGATTCCTATATGTATCTTCTATAGGAAGTGGACGCTAGGATTAACTGGCCGATTCATCACTCATTTTATTCAGAAATTTCTGAATGTGTATTTTGAGACACAAAACTCACTTTTTGAAAATCAGCAAACCAACCTCTTGTTCATGTTGTATTTTTCACAAAATCTTTCACTAAAGAGAGCAACAGTGTGACTACTGTATGCTGGTCACTACCATTCTCATTACAGCAAACTGTAGCCAGGTCTTAGTAGGCTGTAGAAAGTTAAATGAACTATTAAATGCCTACATTGAACTTTGAATTAACCTGGAAGAGTAGGTATCTACCTAGAAGAGAGCAGTGTAGATAGGATTTGAATAGCTTGTGGAGGAATTTGGACCAGGAATAGGCAGCAGTTTTGTAGATTAACGCATAGTAGAGGAAGCATTCGCACTTCTGTGCTTACAGACAAAAAATGAACCCCTGCTTTGCATCAGTAGCGGAAATGAGGTAAAGAAGGATTACAAAAATACACTAGACCGACACAAAGCTTTCTAGAAAAAACTACAGAGGATCCTAAGATAATCCAGGTTGGAAGGGACCTCAAGAGCTCAAAGCGGGGTCCGCTATGAGGTAAGACCAGGCTGCTTTGTCCCGTCAAGTCCTGGAAACCTGTGTGGACGGAGCCCACCCAGCCTCCCCGCCTCGGCTGTTCTACTGCTCGACCGTCCTCGTGGGGGAAAAGCTTTTCCTCACATCTAGGAAAGGAAAGACATTTTTAAAAAAGCTTAAGGAAGCATAGCACTGTTTAAACCGAAGGTCATCAAGCGGTGCTTTTAGTGCAGAAAAAACGGAAAGTTCTCCGTCGCAGCCTGGCCGCGTAAGCCCGGCCACCCGGACGATCCCCATCCGCACCCCCCTCTCCCTCCCTTCGGACTCCGCTTGGCGGTGGAGGGTCCGGAGGAGGCTGTTTTCCCTCAGCCAGCACGGGACCTGCGGGTGGGAGGCCCGGCAGGGCTCTCCCCGTCCAGCCCCGAGCCCTCCCCCGCCGTCAAAGCACGGGAGGCCGAACCTAACGTCAGCCGGGCCGCTAACGGCGGTACCCCGCCTGAGGGCCGCCACAAGGCTTCCCTCACCGGCCGCGGGGCCGGGGCTGCCTCGGACA